ACTGAAGGGTATTTAGGTTTGTTCCACAGTTTAGCTATTGTGAATTGTGCTGCTATAAACATTGATGTGGCTTTGTCCCTGTAGTATGCTGTTTTTAAGTCTTTGGGGTATAGCTGAGTCAAATGGTGGTTCCATTCCCAGTTTTCCTTTTTTAAAAATTAATTAATTAAATAMTTATTTAATTTTTATTTATTCTAATTTGTTATATATGACAGCAGAATGCATTTCAATTCATATTACACATACAGAGCACAAGTTTTTGAATCTCTAGTTGTACACAAAATTGGTTTTAAAGCAGAGCACCTGATAGGTCCAGCCCACACAGGAACTGAGCTGAACAACTAGAAAATGGCTCTGGTGGTTTTATTTAAGGGGGGTACATCAAAGGCAGGGATAATGTTTCAGGGGCGGAGTCTTGCTTCATGGTGTCTTTTAGTCAACAGGTTGATTGGCATCTTGGCAGGCTACACCCATCTCTGAGAGGTTGTATGGCTAGATGGCTGCAGCAGGTCACCCTATCTCTGGCGCTCTGTGGGACCTGACAGAGTTAATAGGACTGATGTATCTGGGTGATCTTGCCAGCAGGATTGCCACTGGAAGTTTCCAAATACCGGATTTTCCTATTCAAAGGACTTCCATGCTGAATTGGTCCACATATAGTCTACAGATGGCTCTCGTCAGAAGGGATCTGATAGTAGGCTGTAGTCGTGAACATATAATCACTAATGCTAGAAATTCTAACAGAACATTTTTAGTTTTACTCAAATAATGCTTCCTGTTTCTGCTAAGCAATACATATAAAGGGTTTATGTAGCCAGGCTCCATTGCACATGCCTATAATCCCAACAACTCGGGAGACTGAGGCAGGAGGAGCACAAGTTCAAAGTCAACCTCAGCCATTTATGGAGGCCATAAGCAACTCAGCAAGAACCTGTCTCTCTAAATCAAATACCAAAAAAAAAAAAAAAAAAGAAAGAAAGACAGAAATGGAGATGTGGCTTAGTGGTTAAATGCCCTGGGTTCAATCCCAGTATCTTGGTACATATCAATAACCTAATCAGTATTTCTTTCAGAATGAAATTTTTGGACCTTTGAGAATTTGCTGAGATTATAGCTCAGTGGCAGAGTATTTGCTCAGCATCGTGAGGCTCTGGATTCAAGCTCTGGCGCTGTTAAAAATAAATAAAAACAATAAATAAAATTAACATTATTTGTTTATGGTGCTGAGGCTCAAACCCAGGGATTTGAACACACAAAGCACATATTGTACCACTGAGCCTCAAGCCTAACTCCCAAATGGACTAAACTATAAATTACATTTGATAAATGTTATCAATGCTTAAGAGATTTTTCTCAATGTAGCTCATTAAAGAATGACACGGTTATAAACTGAACTTTATATTAGTCTACAAGAAATGGGGAAGGTATGTGTTTATGATTTGTTCCTTCCTTCCTTCATCACACATATGCAGAACATTTCTTTCTCTTCTCACAAAGAAAACTTGAACAACTCACCTTTCCTTACCCTCAAACAAACCCTTCCAATAAACCAAAGCCAAACATCCAGAAAAATCGTTTCCTTATGTTTTGTCAGAGGTATGAAGAAAGAAGCATGCATTTTAGGCAGCTGTGGGACATGCTGTCATAATGACATGTTCCTTGTGATACTGGGTCTTTGAATGATTAAAATGATTCTTCGGCTATTTRAATGATGTCACTCTGTTGCTGTTCCTCTGGCTATTTTGCTTTTATACTGCAAATGTGTTAAAAATTTAAGTCCCAGCTTGAACTTTTATTTATGCTGAGCTCAGCCCTGTGGATTGCCTCATTATACAGTGCCTGCAGGAGTGGCACTTCTGGGCATGCAGCCAGCACTCCTGGGTCAGCAGGAACTATTTCAGCTCAATTTAGAAAGCAAAAGAAAGGGATCTGGTTGACCTACAAGTGCCAACTCTGTAAGAATGATTGTTCACCACAATGGTGATTATTCACAGCTTGCCCATCTTCCTGAGAAAATAAAACCTTCTTCAGGGACTTTCCCCCCTCCTCTAAATGAAAGAATTCATTCTTGGTTTCTTGTAAAAATTTTTTAAAAAATACTTTTTACAGAATATCAGAAGACTTCTTATCCGGTCAATTTTTAAAAATTTGTAGAAGATTGTTCGAGGGATCCATGCAATAACTTATTATTATTATTTTTTTTTACATCCTAAAAGAATGACAAGGTAAAACTGTAGAGATGGACTCACCAGGACCCCCTCTAATTTCATTCACTCCCTTTTTTTTCCCTTTGTTCCTTGAAAATGATCTTCAGGATTGCTCAGTTCTTCAGGCTGTCCCCAACATGTTACATAATGACCATGACCTCTGTGGAATTGGCATTCCAAGAGGTTGGGATTTAGCCCTTCTGCTGATTACCAGATCTTTTCCATAGGTGAGTCCATAATCTAGCTATGAGTCTTGCTTCTCCTTTCCTCATTTTACTTGAGTGACTTTGGTGTCTATTTGTTCTCTATTGCTGCCATAACAAGTTACCAAAAAGTAAGTGGCATCATGCAACTCGAATTTATGATTTTACAGTCCTGGAGGACAGAAGTCCTGAAGGAGGTCTCCCTGGGCTCAAATGGCGTGGGCAGGGCTTCATCCCTAAGAGAGGCCACAGAGGAGAATTTCTGTCTTGTCTTCTCCGGCTTCTAGAGGAGCCCACATTCCTTGGCTCATGCCCCCTTCCATTTGAAAGCCAGCGATGGCTGGTTTAGCCCTTCTCAGGATGCTTCATGCTGATACTGACCTGCTTCCCTCTTCTACAACTAGAGAAGGTTTGTGATGACATGGGGCCCTCTTTGCTAATAAAGGATAATCTCTTTAAGGTTAGTGTTAGATCCTGGGGCCAAAGTTAAGTCCATTTTGAGAATCAGTACCTGCCCACCCAGGCATGACCTTCCTGTTAGGTCCACCCTCAAAGACTCCCTGAGTACTGAAACTGTAGGAAAGACCCCCCAATAACAATCACAGGGCCAGATGGGTTATTTTTTAAACTATTTCATTTTATGTGACTATACAGTTAAGAAGTCCCCCCACCCAGCAGGCTGCTGCACCTTGCAGAAGGGCAGTCTGCAGATATTCTCTGTCAATAAACCTTTGCTTGAACTCAGAGATGTGTCTCTCCTGGATATTTGCATCAGCTACCCTGAAAATGAAGCAGCAGTGGAAGTGTCATCGGGAGAGTGAAAGGAGACAACGTTGGGGATGAGAAAGGGCCAGCCACGTGGAACATTCTAAGCCGCAGTGAAGACCTAGGATTTTATGCTGGGTGAAATGAAGAGCTGTTGGAGGGTCTCAAGCCTAGAAGTGACATAATTTTATTTAAATTTCAAAAAGACCCCTACAACAGATTGTTGGGGGGCATGAATACTAGCAGAGACCATTGAAGAGGCTATGGTTATTGTTGGAATGGAGAAAAATGATTTTATACAAGCAGAATCTTAGATGTCTTCCTTGGGAGAAAATTAACCAACTCAGCCACTAACAAGCCCAGTGGGAAGACTACCCACATGATGGTCCTTCCCCTCATTACAAGACCTTGAATCCCTAAAGGCAAGAGATTGACAGCCCTTCAATCCTAGAGCTTAATACAGTGCCCAACATGGAACAGGTACCAGAAAGGCTGAATGATGTACGTAACCTGGCCATGGCTAGATATTTGGTCTTTTTTTTTTTTTTTTTTTTTTTGGCTCAATAGTCTAGTAGCATGCTCATGCACTTTGTACTAATCCATATAGATCTAAGGGATATTTATCACATTTTCATTTTTTACATTAAAAAAGAAGAACAGAAACCATCAGTCTTTATTTTCTTTTTCTTTTTTGTTGGTTTTAAATATATATATATTTAATATATATAATATTATATATATATTTATAATATAAATATATATTTAAATATATATAATATAATTGTAGTTGGACATAATACCTTCATTTATTTTTATGTGGTACTGAGGATCGAACCCAGAGCCTCACAAGTACTAGGTGAGCACTCTACCGCTGAGCCACAACCCCAGCTGCTGATCTTGGTTTTAACTCTTATGACAAAAGATAATCAAGCCACTCTTCCTCCATACAATGTTAGTATTGTTGATGTGTTTTCTCCTGTCTAGGATAGAAGAGCCCTCTATTACTTTATAACAAAATCTTCTTTGGATGTTGGTGCTCTGGGTTACCCTTAGATCAGGAACTGTCTTCTCAGTCCTGGCTCATACTGAGTTAAAAGCTGATTTAAATTTATCCTTCTTAGATGAAATCTTAGTTATTCTCCTAATTCTGGGTCATATGTAAATCTTCTAAACAACAGGTTTTTTTTTTCAGCCAGGGACCATGGCGCACCTGTAATCCCAACAACTCAGGAGGCAGAGGCTGGAAAGTCAAAAGTTTGAGGCCAGACTCAGCAACTTAGTGACACCAGATTTGGAAAAAAAGAAAAAAAAAATAAAGGCCAGGGGTTGTAGCTCAGTGGCAGAAAGCCCTGGGTTCAATCCCAGTACAACCACAACAGCAAACAAACAAACAAACAAACAAACAAAAACACAGAGTTAAGCGCAGAAGTACAGTTCATTTTGTTGTGCAGTGTTAAACCTTAGAAAGAGGAAAGGACTGTATCAATTTAAGGTAACAATTCTTGTTGTAAAACAAGGCACTACAGTAACACTACTTTCAAGTGTCAGCAATAAAGTTAACAAACCAGCAATGATTTTTCATTTAATTCTCTTCCAACTCTACAGAGGTAATATGGTTTTAACAGGGGATATACCTCCTCTTCTAAGAATCTCTGTACCTGCTGGGGGGCACAGCCAATGGAAGAAGAAGGATCCAATAAATGCTGCAACTGGGAGTGAMTGGGACTGAAGTGAATGGGAGTGAATCAGACTGGATTCATTCTGTGAGGTCATTGTCATCCCCTTCCTGCTTCACAACATGAGCTGCTTGCTGGGAAAGCACTCTAATTTTCTCATGGCAATCCTGGCGGCTTCTCCCAGCTTTGACCAGGGCCATGATGATGTTCTCTGTAGCCATGAAAGGCAGTTCCTGCCTAATGCGCTGTTCAGTGACTTTGGAGTACACCACCAGTCCTTCAGAAATGTTGTGTAGTGTGTTCAATATAGTATCTGCCACAGATTCGTGGGTTGGCACTATCATCCAGTGTGCGTTCAAACCACTGCACAGAAGCTGTCTGCAGTGGATTCATGAGAAGGGTCACCAGGTGACGGGCAAGGCTGCAGCAGCCTTCTGAGCTCATGGGGTTCCTCTTGTATGGCATTGCACTCGAGACAATCTGCTGTTTTTCAAAGGGCTCCTCCGTCTCCTTGAGATTGCACATGTCAGTGAAAATCTTGTGCCCTGATGCTCCCAAGCTAGCCAGCATGGGCAATGCCTCGATGTCTACTTTTCGTGAGTACATCTGCCTTGGGATGATAAAAGCCCTCTTGAACCCTGCCTTTTCTACCACCATCTTGTCCAGCTGTTCCCTTTTGGTGATCTCCCTCAAAGAGCTGCAAGAAGCTAGCCTGAGTGCCAGTGGTGCTTTTCACTCCATGGGAGCACAAGTTCTGGAGATCCATGCAAAGATCTTGACTCCAAAGACAGTAACATTTTTCAACTGTGATCAGTTGGGCAGGCTGGAAATGTGTAAAACCTAAGGTAGGCAGATGGGCATGTTCCTTAGTAAAGTCGGCAAGCCGAGAGATCACTCTGGCAAGCTTCGGCAAAAGCAGGTCAAAAGCATTTCTAAGAATAATCAAGTCTGCGTTGTCTCCAACATAGCAAGAGGTGGCACCCAGGTGAATAATGCCTGCAGCTTTTGGACAGCAGTGGCCAAATGTATGTACATGAGCCATAACATCATGTCGCAATTGCTTCTCTTCTTCAGCTGTCATCTTGAAGTCCATGTTGTCCAAGTTTGATTTCATCTCCTGGATTTGTTCATTTATAGGCAAATCCAATGTCTGTTCAGCCTCTGCCAGCCACAGCCAGAGCTGCCACCACGTCTGGAATTTGTTCCTGTTGCTAAACACAGAGCACATCTCGGGGCTGGCTTAGCRGGAAGCAAGCAATGAGTGGTAGCTGTAAGGCGCACCATGGTCGCCTCCCGCTGCCATCCCCAACAAGCAACACCATGAGCCAGTCTTAATTTTCTAAAATTTTTTTTTTTTTGGTACTGGGGATTGAACTTGGGGGGCACTTGACCACTGAGCCACATCCCCAGCTCTATTGTATACTTTATTTAGAGACAGGGTCTCACTGAGTTGCTTAATGCCTTGCTTTTGCTGAGGCTGGCTTTGAACTTGCGATCCTCCTGCCTCAGCCTCCCAAACTGCTGGGATTATTGACGTGTGCCACCATGCCCTGCAGTCTTTATTTTTAAAATAAAGTACACAATGACTATTATGGTAAAAATAAAACAGATAATGGTTGGGGCTGGGGATGTGGCTCAAGCGGTAGCGCGCTCCTCTGGCATGTGTGCGGCCCGGGTTCGATCCTCAGCACCACATACAAACAAAGATGTTGTGTCCGCCGAGAACTAAAAAAATAAATAAATATTTAAAAAAACCAGATAATGGCAAAAAACTAAACATTGTCAGTTTTGTTGCTGACTTGAGAATAATAGAATTAAATATTGGCAGAAGGAAAATCTGCAAAATTCTTTAAGGCAGATGGACTCAGAAATAAGTCTATGAGAGAAAGTTGCTCATGTTGGCAGCTCTGATTAGCTAAAAAACAGAAACAGAAACAAAACAAAATCCTGATTGAAAAATGAGTTCTTTCTTTTTAGAATTTTGAGGGGAACGTTTCATTTTTCATAGGAATGATTCCAGGAAAATAAATTAAAAATGAAAACTACTTGAAATCGTTTGACCTCAACATTATGCAAAATCGACCATTTATGGATTTGCTCAACAACTGCTTATTTAAGTCAAATTGGACTACTGAATTTCTCTTGATACTTTCTTGCTGGAAATATATCAATGTTGAGATAATTTTGACTAAAATGTTTGTGTTCATAAACTTTTCAGAGTCAATTACTTCTGGGCTTGAAATGACTTTCATTAAAAAAGATCCACTGGGTGTAAACTTGCTAGAATTGAAATGGTAGGATCAGAAGTCTCTACAGCTGCATGTCTGTAATCCCAGTGAATCAGGAGACTGAGGCAGGAGGATCACAAGTTCAAAGCCAGCCTCAACAATTTAGTGAGGCCCTAAGCAACTTGGTGACAGCCTGCCTCAAAATAAAAATATGAAAAGGGATGGGGATTTGGTCAGAAGTTAAGCACCCTTGGGTTCAATCTCTGGTATACCTCCCCAAATTGATAATAATAGCAGTAATAAAAATTTAAAGCCAGGCACTGTGGAGTACACTTGTAATCCCAGCAACTGGAGAGGCTGAGGCAGGAGGYTCATGAGTTCAAAGCCAGCCTCAGCAAAAGTGAGGCACAAAGCAACTCAGCGAGACCCTATCTCTAAATAAAATACAAAATAGGACCGGGGATATGGTCAGTGGTTGAGTGCCCCTGAGTTCAATCTTTAGTACAAAAAAAAAAAAAAAATAGCAATTAAAAATAAGTGCTGCAGATGTAGCATAGTGCTAGAGTATGCCTGGGTTCAATTCCCAATAATGAAAACAAAGTTTCTAACATAAAAATTATTTTAATTTGTATTTGAAAGTATTTTTATTGTAAAAATAACAAAAAAGTTAAATGAAGAAAATAATCATCTATAATATCACCATTGAAATAAAACCTCTGTTAAACCCTTTGGTGTAACATTTTACTTTTCTTTTTAGTGTATGGAATTTTAGACATAGTTGTGATAATACTTCATATGTAATTGTCATATTGATTTTAAAAAATTTTAACTTTAGGTTTTTAGCATTCTCACTTTATTCCCTTATTTTTGCAAATATTCTTTTTAAATTCTGAGGAGAATTTACTCCTGTTTCCTTTTGGCTGGGCATATAGGGATTTGCCAGTTTTGTAGTCTATAGAAATAATGCTATATATCATTTCACATAAAGATTTTCCTATATTTAGAATTATTTTGTTAAGACAGGTTCTCAGAAATGGGATTACAGAATCAAAGACCTTTTTGTCTTTAAATATGGAAAAAACAGATTGAGCCTTATCAATAGAATCCTGACCAGAAATGAGACAAGTGAAAAAGCAACTCGAATAATTAATCACAGCCTCTCTGTAATTCATTTACATATTCCCTCTTTGATTGGAAGTTTGCGGTATTTGAGGAAGATCAAAGAGTTTTGGGTTTTAAAGTAATTTTTATTTTAATCAAGGTAATATATTTTGCATGATTAACTACAAARCTCATAAAAAATTGGACCCCCTGCCCTTTCCTTCCCCATTCTCAAATTCCCAGTTTTAATTCTTTCAATACTTCCTTGAGTATTTGTCTTCATATTTCTAGATAATATCCCTAAAATGCCATTTCTATTTCTTGTATGCACAATTTTTAGGCTTTCTAATGTGGAAGATGAAAAATTTTAAATGATTAATTTTTTTAGTTGACMAATAAAAATTCTTTATGTTGGATAACCTGGTACTTTGAAATATACCTACATTTAGAATGAATAGAAATGCACACCCGTAATCCCAGTGGCTTGGGAGGCTGGAGCAAGAGGATAGCAAGTTCAAAGCCAGCCTCTGCAAGTTAGTGAGGCCCTAAGCAAGTYAGTGAGACCCTGTCTCTAAATAAAATACAAAGAGCTGGGTTGSGGGGAGGCTGTTGCTGTGACTCAGTGATGGAGCATTCACCTGGCATGTGTGACACTGGGTTTGATCCTCAGTACCACATAAAAAAATAAAATAAAGGTATTGTGTCCACCTACAACTAAAAATATATATTAAAAAAAGAGGGGGCTGGGAATATGGCTCAGTGGTTAAGTGCCTCTATTCCCATAAAAATTAAATCCAGAATGGCTAAATTAAGTTAAAGCATACACATTATTTCACATACTTTTTTTTTGTGTGTGTGTGTGTGTGTGTGTGCGTGCGGTCAGAACACATAAAAGTTATTCTTTTTTTAAAAAAGCTATTCTTTTGTCAATTTCCAAATATATAATACATATAACACAGTTATTAATGTAGTCACTATATTGTACAATAGATCTTTTTTTGATGAGCCACATCCCCAGCCCTTTTTTCATTTTGAGACAGGGTCTTACAAAATTGCTTTGGGACTTGTTAAGTTGCTGAGGCTGACCTTGACCTTGCAAACCAGCTCAAAATGGATCTTTTGAACTTATTCTTCCTGTCTGAAATTTTATATCCTTTGACCAAAAGAAAATAMGAATTTTTTTTCATAGTGCTGGAAATAGAATCCAGGGCATTATGCATACAAGGCAAGTGCTCTGCCCCTGGACCACATACCCAGCCCTAAATGAGAATTTTAATGTTACATTCCTCCTCTCATAGATGTGGGCATATTGGCACACAGTCACATGTATGTGAATGCACACATACTTCTGTTTTTCCACTTAATCTATCTCACATCAATTTTTCTTTGGTGGGACATATTCTCCAGTAACTTCCTAGAAGGGGTGTCTAGAGGTGAGTTTCTTTATTTTTTTARTGCACTTTTATTTTTTAATACATTTTTTTTAGTTGTCAATGGACCTTTATTTTATTTATTTTATATTTCTATGTGGTGTTGAAAATCAAACCCAGTGCCTTGCTGGGCAAGTGCTCTTCCACTGAGCCACAACCCCAACCCTAGAAGGTGAGATTCTGGAAAGTTTACCTGCCTCAAATATCTTTAGGTCACTCTTATACTTGACTGATGGTTTGGCTGAAATTTAATATTTGAAATAAAGTAATCTTTTTCTTTTGGACAGCATGCCTTTATTTTATTTGTTTATTTTTTTATGTGATGTTAAGGATCAAACCCAGTGCCTCACACGTGCTAGGCAAGCGCTTTGCCTCTGAGCTACAGCCCAGCCCCAAAATCTTATTCTTAGAATTTTGAAGGCATTCTTCAAGTATTCAGAGTTGCTTTTGGGAAGCTGAATGATATTCTGTTTTAGTCTGTTTTGTCTTGCTATGACAGACTACACAGACCAGGTAGTTTAAAGTGAAGACATTTATTTGGCTCACAGTTCTAGAAGCTGGCAAGTCCAAGGGCATAGTGTTGGCAACTGCTTAACATCTGGTGAGGGTCTTCTTGCTAGGTCATTCTGTGGTAGAATGTGGAAAGCCAAATGGGCATGCACATATGTGAGAAGAGCCAGAAAGCCTTCAAGCCTTTTAAAATTGGAATTAATTCATGAGGGTGGAGCCCCATAACCTAAACACCTCCCAWGAAGCTCCACCTCCCAACAATGTTGCACCGAGGATTCAGTTTCTAAAAAAGCCTTTGGAGGTTACACTGAAACCATAGCATATATCCCACTCCTTGGCATATACCCAAAGGACTGAAAATCAGCATACAATAGTGACGTGGCCACATCAATGTTTATAGCAGCTCTTAATAGCTAAACTGTAGAACCAAACTAGGTGCCCTTCAACAGATGAATGGAAAAAGAAAATGTGATACACACACACACACACACACACACACACACAGGAATATTAGCCATAAAAAAGAATGAAATTATGGCATTTAAATTAATGGATCTGGAGATTATCAAATTAAATTAAATAAGCCAATTCCAAAAAAACAAAGGCCAAATGTTCTCTCTGATATGTGAATGCTGACTCACGTTGGGGGGGGGGAGGTGGGAAGTGGAGGTTCACTGGATTGGACAGGGGATAGTGGGGGAAGGGAATAGAAAAGACAGTAGGAT